AATGGACAAATTTGCTCTCTCTGTCAGAGTGTTTTGAAGCTAGAAAAGAAGTGGTGATTCATCAAAAACAATTTTATTATGAAATTTGATTTATGTTGAGAAAAATAAATGATGACGTTAAAATGTGTACCTCGGCATGGAGGGAACACATTTTAGTCAATTGAGTTATCCAATTTTATTATTTTAAAAAAATCCATATCTGGTTGTTCTTTTTATTCTAAAAAATTTATGGTGCTGTATTGAATAGAAATGTGTGTTTCTCAAGTCTATGGACAGCTATGGATTGTAATCCTCTAATTTCAACAGAGTCATTCATTACAATTGGATGAACAAATGTTCTCCTACTTCCATCATTTTTTTGGGAGGGTGAGCAAATATAAAAAAAAAATTCTACTTTAAAATACTGCATTTTATTATAAATCTAAGCAGCAGAAAAAGCTTTGTTATATCAATACTATGATTAGAGATGACACCAACTATAAAAGCTATGGTTTGGGGCCCTTGAAATTCCTCAATTATTAACCTTTCTTTTACTAAGAACAGTTAGTGGGGAACATATGGGAGAATGAATTATGTTTTAATGTGTTAGTTTCTCTATCAATAAGTGCTCATTTCCAAAGCTGTAGAGAGGAACAGGAATTAATTTTAAATGGAACTGCTATTTTCCACTGGATTTATAATTTTAATATATATTCTTGGTAATAACCACCTCACATATGTACAAATGGCTCAGTCATCTATATGTGCTCTTTTGTAACTATTACAAAATTAAATTTATCCATGCAAAGATTTAACTCGACTTTAATAAGCATTGCCTGTCGACCCAGTAGATCATTTAGAAGAGCTTAATGAACATATGATATACTCATGCAATAGTCTGGAAATTTATTTGCATTGATACACACAGAATCTCACTGTGTTTGAGTACTGTTGACAGAATTCAGTCCTGGAAGTACTGGAGTTAGTGTGAGTGTCACATGAATTTTTCCTCTGATGGCCTCACTATGAAACAGTCATGCGTCAGGATGACTCATACCTCTCAGGCAGGCTTGGGGATTTTAAAGGTTCTGTTTCTGCCTTGCTGAACCGGTGTGAAGCAAAGGTCTTGGGACCATCTCTACGTGGCCTTTTGGAGCCAGGATATGTTTTTTTCCTTCCCCTCATCCCTTTCAATTATCCCATCATTCCCTGAAGTTTAAAAGTCCTAATCAAGCAGAGTAAGTGAAAGCAAAGCCTACAACTGAAGCTACATTTCTGCCCACACCACTGTCAGTGTCGCTTTGTTTTTCTCAGCGAAATCCCTTCTCACTGTGCTTTTATATTCCCCTGTGAAACAGAGGTTAGGTGGGCTGGCACTGCGGCATACTGGGTTAAGCTGCCACCTGCAGTGTAAGCATCCCAAACGGGCTCTGGATCAAGTCCTGGCTGACTCACTCGAAATAGCTGCACCCACCAAGGCTGGGCCAAGCAGATCCTAGGAACCAAGACCTTCATCCAGGTACTCCCCTGTGAGCGCACACCCCAGTCGCTTGGGCAATACTCCCTGCATTCCCAGGCATACCAGCAAGGAGCTAGATGGGAAGTAGAGCAGTGGACGCTGGGACTTGAACCAGGGTCCACACGGCACGCCGGTCTGTGGGTGGCAGCTTAACTCACCGCATCACCCTGACCTTTTCACTCAATCCTTATCCCACTCGGAATTGCTACACTGGAGTCATGCTTTCCAATTTACTTTGGGGATACCTTTCAAGGGCACTCTGTGATGGCCCCGATAAAGATGAGATTTAAAAGCTATAGTCAAAAAGGGCTTTCTTTAAAAACAGTTTTGCAGTGACAATAAAGGGAAAACATCTTTTCCTGTGAGGAAGAGGATGCGACTGCTTGTCTGGGAGATTGCCCTATGAGCATCTGAACAGTATGGTCGTTCTCCAGGCATCAGAGACACCGTGGGTCAGCATCAAACCTCTGGCCGCGCGTGGAACAGTCTAAGGCAACTGCCGCTGGGAGAACCACAGAACGATCATGACTGAAGGACTTACATGAAAGGGATGGAAGGTGAGAACAAATCATTTTGGGATGAATGAAAATGAGGCCTTCTTCTAGGATCAGTATGGTTCCATGTTGGATTGCAATTCCAGCAAGAAGCAATTTGAGCTTTCTTGTCCAAGGTAACATACTCTGGCTTCTTACTGCAGGTGAGTAGGAAGAATGCGGATGAGTGACCACCAGCAGAGGCTTCTAGACTATTTTAATGTAGGCAATTTTACTTTACACTGGACTCATCACTGGGAGCACTGTCTTTGTATTTAAACACCAGAATACAGAACTCCTTTACACATAATGAAGCTCTGTGTGTGTGTGTGCAGTTCTTAAGTGGTTAGCATGAACTGAAATAAAAGAGTGACACTGCTTTCCTACTCTGGCAGCCACTTCAAGACCACAAATCTTGCTACTCCAACGAGAAAGGACTTCTTCATGCAAAGAATGCAGAAATAAAGACTACCCAGAGGTGGCGCTGTGGTTCAAGTACACCTGCATTTTGATGACAGGGAATGTATTCACTCCCTACTCCTCAGAAGAGAGACTGTTAGCCATTATCGCTTTTGTATTTCTATAACCACAACATCAGCAAATAAAGCACTCTAGTAACACAGTCACACTCACTCTGATCTATCGGGACATGTGTAAAGATTTCACCGCGCACTAGCTGCAGCCAACCTGTTAAAGCGCATCCTAGCGGCATGCCTATCCAAACTTTCATCTGGCCTTCTCTCCTTCAGATAATCTCTCACAGATATTTGAACATATGCCCGGTTAAATATCTAACACTTCATTTTCTTATTAAAGCTTCATTGTAGCATATATACTTTAGGCAAATACGAAAAGTGCCACAATTTATTACAGATTCTTTCATTATGTGCCCTATCGTACCAAGTCATTTTTACAAGGAAAAAACTGAAGCAGACATGGTAGCACAGTAGCTTAAGCTGCTGCTTGGGAACCCACATCCCGTATGGGAAGGCCTGGTTGGAGTTCCGCTACCATAGCTTTGGCCTTTCTTCCTGCTAATGTACCTGGAAGACAGCACAAAATGGCCCAAATATTTGGGTCCCTGTCACCCACAGTGAAGCCCTGGATGGAGTTCCTGCCTCCCGGCTTGCGGCCTGGCCCAATCCCTGGGTGTTACCGACGTCTGAATTGTGAACCAGCTGATGGAAGCTCTGTCTTTCTGCCTCTCTCCTTTCAATCACTCTACTTTTCAAATAAATAAATATTTTTAAAAAGGAAATTTAAAGACCATTTAGTTTAATTCCCTCATGTGAGAAAAATTAAAGTTCAGGGAAGGAAATTTATTCATACATGACAAATCATTACCTAATTGCGGCTCACTAACATCTTGTGCCGTCTCATTTTGATGATTATAAATTATTAACAAATACAAAATGAATCAGGGAATTAAAACGTATTGTTTGTTCACGGGTTCCTTTCCTCCTCTGGTTAACTGAGTTGTCTTGACGAGGCTTGCAGGAATAGCCCATCTTTGCTAAGTTGCCCTTCTTCAATCACGCCCATGTGCAGCTGCTTTCTGAACAGGACATTTTAATTACTACTCCAACCTTAATGATTTTTGCAAAAAACAAATGTTTTTCACATGTGCACAAGGTGAATTGATCATAATAATACGATTTTTAAATACAAATCAACAGCATGTATTCACTTAATTTTAGGGATGCCAGCAATTTAAGGTGCTAGAAAATAAAACTAAGTCTTTCATTGGCATTTAAAACACCTTGTGTCTGATCCTGTAGCCAAGTTATTCTTCCGTTTGCTACCCGCGTTTGCAGTCTGAAAGACAGACACGTCGTCCCAGACAGACACGAAGCCTTGGGGGTTGACCACCTGCCACAGTCCCGCTCAAGTTCCTCTGCTCAATCCAGCAAGCAGTGTGTAACCCAATATGAAAACTTGTCCCGCTACGCTGGCTTTACTTAATGACACTTAACAGAAGGGCTTTGCGCTTTCATGATAATTTCCACCAGAAAATTCTCTCTGGAACTTACTAATAATAATCAGAGCTAATACGAGCCTGGGATCGGAGATTTATTAGAACTATTTGGCAGAGTGGCTCAGGTGCACCGCCCAGGCATTTAAGCATCTAGGTGGGGTTGGGGTCCTGAATGCCTCCCACGCCAGCATCCTAAGCCACTGCTTCCTCCACAGAGGCCCTGAATGGTGATGACTGATTGCTTGCACCGCTTTGCGGGGCTGGGAGGCACGGTGGCTCTCTCCTTCCACGATGGAGAGGCTAGTAGTGGAACCAGGTTTTCTCTGTGCAGTTTGCTTTAACTGTCAAACGAGTGACAAGGACCTATGAAATGCCCACTGGACAGAGTTCATTCTCGGGGTTACAGAAGGGGACCGAGGAGGCGGGAATTTAAGTAGGAACTATCACCTCCCTCGCTGTTCTCATCTCCTGAACTAAACTTCCACTAAGATAAGAAACCGAGTAACAACAGCAGCAAAACCCAAGACGGCGAGGTAGAGGGTTGGGGGAGGGGAGTCAGTCCACCGACTTTTTTTTTTTTTTTCCCTAAACAGAAAGAGCCCACGTCTAAGAAAGACATGCAGTAAGTTCCTAAAGGTCTCCCCGGGACGGGCACGCCCCGAGGGATGAGCGGGTGGGGACCACGGCGACCGCGCGCACCGGGGGCAGGTGCGGTGCGCGCGCCTCGGCTCCCGGCCTCGCGGAGCGCAGCGCGCCACGGTCCCCCGGGCACGGGGCGCCCGCTCCCTTCTCCCCGCCGGACTCCCGGTCCTCGGGCGGGCCCGGGCCGCTCCGCCGCCCGCCTCGCTCCCCCCCGCCCCGCGAGACTCCTTGCAGTCATCCCTTTGTCCTCCCCCGGATTGGCAGGTTTTATTATTCCGCCTGAACAATCCGGCCGCCCAGTGGCTGAGGGTCGCTGACGTCGGCGGCAGAGCCGGGGAGTAGTTGGAATTCTGCTCTGTCAGTAACACATGTGGAAGCGCCGCGGAGGGAGCGAGCGAGCCGGCTAGAGGCCCGCGCCGCCGCCGCCGCCCCCGAGCCGAGCCGGGCCCCCCGAGCCGAGCCGGGCAGCGGCGCAGGCAGCAGCAGCCCCCCGGGGCAGCGGCGCAGGCTCCAGCGCGCCCGGGCCCGGCCGGCCGCAGCCCCCCGCAGCCCCCCGCGCCGAGCCGCCGGCCGCTCCCGGGGCCGTGCTTGCGTGCGGCGGCTCCCGGCCGGAGGTGCAGGGGAGTGCGGCCGAGCCGCCGCCGCCGCCAGCCCGGGCGGGCGAGCAGGCGGGCGGGCGCGCGGGAGGGAGGAAGGCGGCGGCGGAGGAGGAGGAGGAGGAGCGGGCGGAGCGCGGCGGGGGCGGGGGCGTATACAAAGTGAAGCCACATTGCCAAACTTGCAGCAGCGATTGCAGCAGTTGCTGCCGCTGCGCCGCGCCTCCAGCCGCGCCGCGCGGGCCGAGGGCTTCCTGCAGCTGCTCGAGCGCAGCCGGGAGGTGGACGAGAAGGACGAGCGCCCGGACTGACACTTCTCCGCTCCCGGCCGCCTGCCACTTTACGCCGGGGCTCCCCAACCCAGCGCCAAAGCTGCGCGATTAAAAAACAACAACAGCAACAACAACAAACACCCGGCCGCCCTCAGCCCCCTCCTCCCCTTTCCTGCATCTGCGAAAACTCCCTCCCTCCCTGCGCGCCGCCGGCCGAGGCGCCCCTAAGCCTGGAAGCCGAGCGGCTCCGCTCGCCCGTCGCCACCGCCGCCCGCAGTCTCGCAGTGTAGGGGAGAAGCAGGTAAGGGGGCGGCCGGAGAGTCGGGGAGGCCTCCAGGAGGGGGGCCCGCTCGGACCCGGGCTGTTTTCTTTGGCTCCCTTCCCCTGACCGTCCCAAATTGCAAGTAAACAATACGTCGGCGTAGATAATGCGCGAGTCCGAAACTAGCGAGGCAGGCCTGCGAGCCGGCGCCGAGGGCACCGAGGGCAGCCCCGGGCCGCCCGCTTTGTGGCGGCTCCGGCTTACAAAAGGGTTCCTCTTGGAGACCGGGCTGCCGGGGACCCTGGAGGGGGTGGGGACGTTCGCAGGTCCTAACGGGGAAGGCGCGGGAGGAGGGGGGTGTTGCTTTGATGAGGGTCTAAGTGTGAGAAGTAGTGTGTTGAGGGGTGGGGGTGGTCACGACCCACTCCCCCTTCTGGGAAGCACGATTTTCGAAACAGTGGCGCAAAGAAGCTAAGTGACCAGGATGAGGTATCGCTGAGTCTTAAAAAAAAAATTCCTCTTGGCTTATAAGTCTTTTGTTCCAATCCAGGAGAAATCCGGTGAATCACCTAATTAAAATCAAGACATGAATTAAGCATCCATTTTTGTACTACAAATTGCCAGCGCTACGTTTGTCCCTCCCTTGGTCTCCATTAAAAAACACCAGAGACGTTAAAGGGGGGGCAGATTTTGCCTCTAGCTGCCAGCTCTGCTTTCTATTTCACTGACTCCCAGGACCTAAATTGCTTGGCTATGTAATTACTAGAGTATAAGCCTATTTAACTTAAAAGCTTTCTTTTTTTTTTTTTTTTCCAACTCTAAATGAAACTTGATGAGGGCCCGTCCTTAGTTATCAGGGGAGTCAGTTTCTGGTCAGTCGTCTTGATTCATCTCTTTTAGATTTAATCAGCATTAAGGTATTGCTTGTCCTTAAGAGCTTTAGCTAATGGGGTTACTGGACGCTTTTCTCAGTGTAATGTTTCCTTTTCAAAAAATATATACATATATATATTTACCTCTCACCAATGAGGGGGGTGGGGAAGAGCTTGAATCTTCTCCCTCCCTCTCCCCTTTTAAGAAGGAATTCCGAGCCTTTAATACAGTGTGTGTGTGTGTGTGTGTGTGTGTGTGTGTGTGTGTGTGTGTGTGTTGGGGGGGGGCGTTGAGGGGAGGGAACAGTTTAAAGACCCAGGGCAGGAAATGCAGATTCATTTGGGTTAGGGCTGAAATTGTAACAAAAAGCAATTCCTCGAGTAAATGCATCAGATAAATCAATTTACATAAAGGTATGATGCATTCGGATAAATGCAATGCTAATGGGTTTTAGAGTGGTCCTGTTTCCAAAGTCGCAGGGTTTTGTTACAGCTTAATTGGTGCAGTTCTTATTCTGGTTTATTGTGCGGTCGCTGGACACACGTTCCGGGACTCTTTCAGAGGAAATGTGTTTAAAATCGGCCTATTTAAGGAACCCAAGTCCTCCTTTGGTTCCCTCTCCCTTGCTCCTTTGCAGCGGCCAACTTGGGCCGGGGACAGGGGAAGTTCGCCCTGTCCCCTCAGAGGGATCAGCTGAAGGTCTCCAGCAGCTAGCCTGGAGCCGGGGGAAGCCCACAGTCCGGGCTTACCCAGGACAAAGACAAAACAGGCTGCTTAATTGGCAGTAAATAACTTGATCTTTTTATGGAATAAGTGACCGAGGAACACTGGGACTTTATTGGACTCAGGATTGGAGGCAACAAATTAATCGGTTTAGGCTAAGCTTTATAAATTGATTCCTATATTATACTCCAGTTGCTTCTCCTGCGGCATGCATTTGGAAGAGGGGGGAATTTTTAAAAGCAGTTTTTGGTGACAGCAGGATTGGCTCCAGTTTAACTTGTGCATCCCCCTAATAGTGCCTCCTCACGTATTATCTGCACGCACCGCCCCCCACCCCCCTCGGAGGAACAAAGCTTTAGCATTTAAATTGCTGATCAAGGGCAGATTAGTGAGACCAAAGTGGAGAGTGTTTGTATAGGAAGTTAACAGGCATCCTAAAGTTCAATGATCTATTATTCTTGCCTGTGTCCTGAAAACCCAGAGAAAACACTCACTGATCTTCAAAATGAAATGAGATTTGGAACAATAATGGGAGATGGCGGTCACCACAATGGCATGTGAAAGGTGCTGTTTGAAATACGAAAAACCAGTTTCGCAACTTTACACGCCGCTACTCCCCCCACCCCCAGCCCCACCGTGCCTCCCCTCCCACCTCCACGCTCGCCTCCGCCCCTGCGCCGCTGCCTCCCCGCCGTCCCTTTCGGAAAACCCTCCTCTTTGCAACTTGGGAACTGCAGCTGCACTTCCCGGGCAGGAGCTGGGGAAAGAACGTGGCTCCCCCAGCGCGCTCGCGGGGCTCGGCGGGGGCCGGGGAGGGGCCGGGCGCGGCGGTGGGTGGGTTTGACCCTCATTTGCTGGGAGGCGGGCGGGCGGCGCCGGGGGAGGCGCCGCGAGGGGTGGAGCGCACGGCGCGGCCAGGCTCGCCGAGTTTTGACAGTACCCGAGCTGCGATTGTCAGCAGGGCGAGCGCAGCAAAGTTGCGAGGAGCTCGTGGCCCCAGAACAAAGCTTGAGAAAAGTAAACAGGCGGCTGCTGCCGGCGAGCCTCCCTCCTTCCCTCTCCCCCATCCTGCTTCCCGCCCTTGCCCGGCCGCTTCCTTCCAGCAGCCCCGAGGGGAGGAGGGGAAGACGCTAGCCTACTCTGTCTGCTGGCGTTTACTAACTTTTGGTCGTCCATTCTCTCTCTCTCTCTCCCTCCCCCTCCCTCTCCTCCCCCCCCCCCCTTCATCTTCATCTCTCTCTCCATCTCTCTCGCACTCACTCATATTCCCTTCCCGCCCTCTGCAGATCATGGTGAACCCGGGCAGCAGCTCGCAGCCGCCCCCGGTGACGGCCGGCTCCCTCTCCTGGAAGCGGTGCGCAGGCTGCGGGGGCAAGATTGCGGACCGCTTTCTGCTCTATGCCATGGACAGCTACTGGCACAGCCGGTGCCTCAAGTGCTCCTGCTGCCAGGCACAGCTGGGCGACATCGGCACGTCCTGTTACACGAAGAGCGGCATGATCCTCTGCAGAAATGACTACATTAGGTAAGACTTTCTGCTACTTTTCCCTTCCCCAAGCTGGGCAGGCACAGCCACGGCCAGGCCAAAAGGCTACCTTACAGGGGGCTGAAGGAAAGGAGCGCTCCCCACCCTGGGCATACCTGCAGCCTGCGCCCTAAACGCCTTTGGATTAGCTGGATGGAGGGCTTTCAGGAAGCACGTGGGAGTCTTCCCCCTCCCTCCAGCATTTGGTGACAGGTTCATGGCAACTGCCACCGTAGGTAAAGGCTGCCCATAGGTGTGCCGCCGGCCTGCCACCTGCATTCTAGGCCAGAATTGTGTGTGGTCAGCCTCGTGCGGGACTTCAGGCTGCTTAGACACGTTTCAAGTGGGAGTTAGGCTGTGTTCTGCAAGCAAGGTCAGGGACTTCCAGAGAAATCCCGGAGACAAAAGGTTGGCTTTAAAATGAAACCTGTAGTGAAAAATTATTTGTCTGTAGTGATAGCTAATTATGGTATTTACATAAGCACCTTTAAACTTTTTTAGGTTTGAAAAGCTGTGACTCATTCTTTGTGCTCCCTGTGAAAAATGCTGATTGCCCATCAGCTTAAACACTTGTAATTCTTTTTATAGCAAAGCACAAAACAAAACCCCAAACCAAAGCCTAGCGGTAGTGCTTCCCTCCGTGCTGGGACGCGCAGCCTGGGAGTGCTCTGTGTTAGTGTGTGGTTTGCGATGGGGAACTGGCAGTTGTGTTTTTTTCCAATTAAAGAATGTTCAGGTTTGGGGGTATTTTTGTTGTTGTTGCCATTTGTATCGCTGCCCTTGATTCCCAAAGCAAATTTAGAAAAAGAGGCTATAGAGTTATACTAATCTTGCATTTTAAAGCAGTGTATAGGAACATTCATATGTCTGTGTAAGCAGTCTTTTCCAACTAGTTTCAGTGCAATTAATGGAAAGAATTCAGGAGGTCAGGTGCCTATAGGATCTTTTCAGGTGAACTCAAGCTACTTAAACTCATTAATTTGAAAGGAGGCATTTGAAGGATTACACATTTAATTTGAGTAAATGGCTTGATAGACTGATGCACATGAATGCTTCTAAGAGGTGTTCTGTTTCAACATCCAGTAATTAAAAAAATAAAACACCACCCCCCGCACACCGTTGATGCGACACCCGCACACTTTAAAGGAGAATTTCGTTGTACGTAAAGCTCCTTTCTACACCTTTTTATTGATGGTAACAAGTAGAGATTTTTGTTCTTTCTGCAGCATGGGGAAATCAGTTACTGATTTGCTCCAAGTTTAGCTGCATCGCGCTTGCCCTCGCCCTGCCCAAGATCCCAGTGTAGTAGAGGCCTGAGTCCAGCGGGGATCTGCCAGCGTGTGGAAGGATGCAGCCAAGTGGCATGTGGTTAGACTCACAGAGCACCTTGTGTCCACCTCGCTGGGATCCTGTATCAGTCAAGTGAGAGAACTGCTGGAAGGGAGAGGGCTTTGGCTTCTACATTAAGATGGTTGTATTAATTCCACTAAGTGTTCTTCTAGAAATGAGTGTTGGGAAAGCAGGAGGATCTTGGGTGCAGTGCCTTCTGGTCCTTTCAGCAGACACAGTATTGTAATTAAATAGTGAAACTGTGGTCAGGAAGGAGGGCTGTTTGAAGTGGGAAGATGGGCAGGGGCAGTTGAGATTGGGGGAGTGGTACAGGGTTCAGCTTCATCTTCTCTCCAAGTGCCTTCAAAAAAAATTACCACTAATTAAAAAGATGGGTCCACTGCATTCCCTTAGGGACAAGTTGAGGCAAACGGCTTCCTGGGAATCCTGAGACCATTCCTTTCCCTGTTCTTGGGGCCACAAGTCAGTGCTTCCTTGGTGTTCTCCTGCACCTGATGCAGCCAGGACCGGAGCTTGCCTGAATTTGTAGTCATGTAGGATGTCATGCTGAGCCCCATCCAGGAGAGCTGTGTTCTAGTTCAGTACCAAATTGATCCTGGCCTTCAAGGCTCCGCAGCTACTGAGAGGGAGATCTTACAGGTCCTGTGTTGACACACCCCCCACCACACACACACATTCTCTCTCTCTGTCCAGCAAGGTGCCACAGGGGTGGGAGGTGGTCCATAGCATCTGCCTTGCTCTTCCTCTCTGCTCCTGGAGCGCCAACTCCACTTGTTGGAGGAGCTTTCATTCCCACAGATTCTCAGCAGTGAAATGCTCGGTTCGCCAGGCACCAGGTGAAGGAGACCCCTGGGGTCCTGGCTAGGACCACAGAGTGATTTATTAAGGGGCTTTTAAACTGTCTGACTTCGAGGTTGTGGCTTTTTTGAAAGCACCATGATGTGCCTAAAAAGCTGCGGGAGGAGCTGGGAGAGGCCCGCCCGGTCAGGACGAGGGTTGGGGGGCATCCGAGGTGTATGTGTTTGTGTTTTGGGGGGGCGTTCACCCCCAGTCCCCTCCCCCTCCGCGGCCAAGTGTCGACCAGGCAGAGCCGCTGCCTTCTGCCGTCTCTTCCTCCAAGATTTCAGATAAAGCGGCTGCCTTGCAGCAGCGAATCCGCACAATTAAAAGCTTTAATTAGTGGCTCCTCCATTTTCTTAGTTCTGATGGGCTTTATCTAATGAGATCTGGTCTCTGGCTTAGATCTGCTCCGAATGACGTGTCCGCAATGAATGAGAGCTGCGTCGCAAACAAAACATTTAATTAACAAAATTGGCCTCTAAGAGAGGGAGGGAAAGGCGGGAGGAGGGGGTGTGGAGAGCAGGGGGAGGGTGGATCTTAAAGGGACCCAGGCCCGCCCGCCTTGCCGCCCCCCCACCGCCACCTCACCAGAGTCGGCCGAGCCTTCCCGCTGGCCGCGTGCAGCCCCCCGCAGCCCCCCGCGTCCGACCCCTTAGCTGCGCCCCAGCGCCACCGAGCAGCTTCAGCAACTCCTCGCTCCAGCCCCCCTTCCGCGGGCCCCGAGACTGGCGCGGAAAGTGCAGCCTCGAGAAGGAAGTTGGGGGACCGACGGGTGGGGCTGCAGGTCGGGGGAGGGCGAGGAAGCGCGCAGGAAGCCCGGGTGGCGGTCGCGGGCCAGCCCTTCCTCGCTGGGCCCGGCCCCTGCCCTGGAGAGGAGCCGGGCCGCCGAGGAGCCGGGCCGGGCGGCCAGCGGCCTCGGGCCCACGAGGGGGCGAGCGCAGGGCGGGAGGCCGGCGAGCAGGCTGCGCTCGGGCGGCTCACGTGGCGCCCGCAGCCGCGCCGAGCACCGCGCGGCCGGGGAGGGGTCCGGGGCGGGTGGGTGTGTTTGGGGAGGGGGTAGTGTCAGGAATGGAGGCGCCGCCAGGCAGTGAGTTCATTTCCCTGGTAATCAACAGCAAGCTGCTATATTCAGAGAATGCTGTCCCTTTAATTGAACAGGCTAGGTAATTAAATGGCACTTTTCCAATAGGACGTGCTAGGTAAATCTAATAGTTGGTTATTTAATATCACTTTGAAGTCTGCCCACTCAAGCACAATGACAGCACAGGAGCATGTGAACTATTAGCTAGGAAAAAAAATCCAGGATCTCAAAAATTAATTAAATCGCATGCAATTTAGGGGGAACGTTTATCTTGATTTGTCATAACAGAATTAATTCAAGGCCTCCAATTCACTTGGGGGCAGATCTGTTACTCTGAATTAACCAAGCGTAATTTGGCTGATTTTTTTTTTCCCCCTCCCTCCCCTCTCTAATGCAGCCGATGCGATTATGCACAGCCCCCCTCTGAAGTATCAATAGCTTCTGGTGCTTTTAAGGTGCTTGGTCTCTAGTTATTGCGAAGTACCTTTAATGGACTTGGCTCCAGGCATAATTTCTGGGTTGCATTTCTTTGTTACATTTAATATAGCTGGCGCAGAATTTAGATTAAATATAGGATCCTGCTGGAAAACCAATTGCTTCTGGATCAGTAGCTATGGATGTGCATTTTTCTCCTCAGATAGGTTGCTGATATTTACTTGCAGGTACAAATGTATACCTTTCAGCCAGCACTCTTAGAGAAAGTGTCTCTGCTTGCCTGAAAGCAGTTTAGAATACACAGCCTAGTCGCTTTCTGTAGCGTGTGGATTCTGCTGAAAGTCATAATGCAGTGTAAAATAGGCCCACCCATCGGCCACTGAAAGTTACTGGGCGATGCTAGGCGTTGATACTAAACCAAAAATATGACCTGCTGTCTGTTTCCTAATGTCGACAAGGAAAGTTGGAGCTGGGGGGGCGGGTGGTTGCCTGCTGGACTCAGCATGCTGGGGTGTTCCCCACCTTTCAAGTGCAGAGGTTTGGTGGGATTTCTTCCCATCTCTTCCCTTTTCCCCATATAAGGAACCTCCTGATGTTTGTGATTGATTGCATTGCCTAAATGCTGAAATATTAACGACCTTCTTGGGCTGAGGACCCAAAGAAAGGAAACTGAAACCAATTCTGTCATCACAATTAAAGACTCCCCTGGCTTTAATTAGCCTGACCTGGGGTATATCTCCCGGTTGCTTGAGTTAAAGAGAAAAGAGCCCATTATAGTCCAGTCTGAGACCGATAGCTACTTAATTGAGCACCTAAAGCCTCTAGCCTTTTAAATCAAACACTGTCCTGGACAGTCCCCCTGGTTAGATAATTAACTCTCCAGCGCACAGAAACGTTGTAAAAACACACACACAACTTTTCAGGAAGAATAGGGTGGAATTCTAATGGTAGCCTTGCCCTGGTACAGGGGGATCAGAGTGTGTGTGTACGTGCAAGTTCTGCTCTGAGGCAGCCTGGAAGCTGGAGACAGGAAAAAGATCTTAAACTCCGGCAGCACATCAACCCTGGCAGATCACGGTCATTTTCAAACTTGGGAACTATAATTTTGGACACTTTAGGAATCCCACCGTTTTGTGGCTGATTGTTCTCTGACAGGTTGTGAAAGCAGTGCTGGAGAAAATAAAGATCCATGAAAAGCCTTTGGATTATAGACGGGCTGCCCTGATTATTAAGATACACTTAGATGGTGAAGACATACAGCCGACTTTACTCAGGGTGGATTGTTAAATAAATGAACACTTAGGCTGGGTAATCAGATCAGTACTGTGAAAGGGTATTTTGGAGATGGAGTGTCACCGTATACCTGTTGGTAGCGGCGGCCATAATTATAGACTGTTGTCCATTAAAATACTTCTGTGTTGCTCTAAGAGGGTATTCGCTCCTTAGCTCTGGTAGGATTCTAACCCCATGCCCTCTGCCCATCCCCCTTTAATCCTCCCTCAGCCACATAGACTTTTCACTTTGTATTTTCTCCTCCCTCCCTGAATTGTTTGAATTTGGTATCCCTGTTGGGGATTGAAATAGTCTCAGCAGTTTCCATAAACTGCTTCCCCTGCTCCAGTGGTTCTCTGGCCTCCCTGCCCCTCTGCGAAGGCCCCCCCGCCACAGCCGCAGCGCCCTAGCTGAGCCTCCACGAGGCCCTGGTCCGGGTCCTCCCAGGGTGCTGGTTAGGAAGGCCTGAGCCCCGGGTTGGTGGGGACCTGCGGCTGGAGCTCCTGACAGTGTATTATTTCAGCTTGCTTTCTGTAACTGTTCTGAATCTGCGAGAACGTGTCAATGTGTCGTGGATCTCAGACTAATTAGTTTTGAAATGGAGTTTTGATTGAACTCTTCAAATCGATGCTGCTGCAAAATTTGTTTCTCAGGCTTCCTATTAAAAGCCATCTTAAGGGGCAGTTTTACTACTCTCCCTGTCGTTCAGTCGATACATTTAATAACAACTTACAGGCTATTTTCAATAAAGTGGCGACAGCAAATTAGTAGTTTGAACATGACAAGCCTCTTCTGCAAGACCAGATTCTGAAAACTCAAAGCAATTATTTTTATATAGAGGCATGCCACAGTCATTCAGATTACGGGACGTTCTATAGGAACACGTCTTCGGATCTGACACAGACGGCGCTTTATGTCTTTATTTGGTGAAGGAGGAAGCGCAAATATTAATATTTATTATGACACCAGTATGTTCATTTGTTAGTGCCATTACTTTGTTTGTCGTCGATGCAAAGTGCCTCTGCGACCCTGCTCGCTTGTCCCACTCTCACCCTGCAGTGGGAAATCGTTTTGGTCTGTTTAATAAATATTTGTGGATATCAAGGAGGGAAACCCAAAAGCAAATAAAGCTTCCCGGCCTGAGTCTACGGATTCCATAAGAGCCAAAGTTCCCTAGTCATTAGAATATTCCGCTGTGCCTGGAGAAGGCTGTGAGGAATTGTGTGTCTGTTCCCCCTGTGCACAGCACACTTCCTCCAGCGTTCCCCTCCTCTGCAGCCCTTTCCTTCTCCCCCTCCTCCCCCCATGGCAGATGTTGTGGTCTCATTTGATTGCATAGGAAAACTGCAGTGATACAGCAAACACCCAGAGAGATATGATGACAAATGGGTCCAGATCCCGGTAAATTACTTTCTGCTCAAATCGAAATTTCATTCAGTTTGTTGCTAGCAGAGATGAAGTAATCTAAATTGTGGACTCAGGAGCAGATAGAGGGAAGTTGGAGCAAGCATTTCATTATCAAGAGAGAGAGAAGGTTAGGATGAAAGAGATGAGCAGAGGCAAATCTTAAGTGTTGACACCATGATTGAAAAGGTTAACCCATACACATTATATATCAACCTGGATAGTACAGAGTTTCTAATGGAAAGCCTGCACCGACGGAGCTTTACGGGAGTTTCAATACACTGAGCATGATGTCTTCTTAGATATACAATCAAATCCTCTTAACCCTTTTGATGACTCATATCTCGAGATATGATTAAAGTACAAAAGAGTTCTTCATATAATTTCAAGGACACAATACATTTAAACTCCAGTCATGAATTGTATCTTTTTTATGACGGGGGCCCAGTAATCTGATCAAATGTGTGTAGAACAGAATTGTTTTGTATTTGCTAGAGGTGTTAGTCAATATTCACATGAAATCTGGGGTATCCCCTTCCTTGGACGTAGGGCAGAAGTTAGCTGTCCCACCCCACGTCCTCATCCAGCCCCCCAAAAAAGAATTTTTCTTCCTGGGTGATACAAATGGCTCAGAAAATGTAAGGCCTGAGCCTAAAACTTGAGCCTCTTGTCGGGTGCATGCCAAAGGGAAGGCCGGATACCAAGACTAGGAGTGGTGGTCTCTGGTTTGCTGTGACTCACCAGTGTCAACTGTCTCGCTTTGTTTCAGGTTATTTGGGAATAGCGGAGCTTGCAGTGCCTGCGGACAATCGATTCCTGCAAGCGAGCTGGTCATGAGGGCACAAGGCAATGTTTATCATCTTAAGGTAGTGCTGGCACCCCTCCACCCTCTTGGCAGCTATCGTACCTTTTCTTTAGCAAGAACTCTGTTTGCTCAAGCCACAGCAGTGATGCTTGCAGGTGTACACGCGCACACACACACACACACACACTCCCATTTCTGAGTGCACAGGTATTTCTCTTCCTCTCTCCATTCTGATCCAATTCATTGTGTTTCTGCTTTACTGGGCTAGAATCATGTCAAAGGAAGAAAAACACTAAACCCTAAGTAGCCCTGTACTTGACAGATACCTGCTTAAAAACAGGTTATAGCCTCGTGACCCAAACCAGACTTAATTTGTACTTGTTTTTCCCTTGCAGTGTTTTACATGCTCTACCTGCCGGAATCGCCTGGTCCCGGGAGATCGGTTTCACTACATCAATGGCAGTTTATTTTGTGAACATGATAGACCTACAGCTCTCATCAATGGCCATTTGAATTCACTTCAGAGCAATCCACTACTGCCAGACCAGAAGGTGAATACCTAACAATTACTAATGGGCTTTATTAGATCGAGTGGGAAGGTCTAGCCTCTTCACTTTAGCAGGGGAGGTTTTCTGGGTACTTATGTTTTTGTGTGACCTGGTACAAAAATGTAGACTGCTTCTTATCCAGATGAGGGTGCAGAAATAGGATCGTTCATTAAGTGGGGAACAGTGTGTAGTTGAAAAAAATTATATCACCTGCTGTTGGGTTTATTTGTAGATTGCCCCATGTTGAACATAAATTTTAGCATATGCAGAATCAAGGTCAGTGTGCAAAACTCCCCGGTAATGTGGTTGTTTATCCCATGTGACCGTCTTACTGTTGAGAAACACCAAGTCACAGCTTCTTACAGCAGGAAAATTAGGACGTTTATGATAGGATGAGGGAATAAATGTCTTGGTCATGAGAGAATGATTTGTGCGTTAGCGGTATCCTTCCGGACGCCTGCCTTCCGAGCCCATTCATAGTGCTTTTATTGTTAGGAGAGCAGTTTTACTAAATGTTCTGTGATCCCAAAGGAGTGCAGTTTTGTTGATCAGTCATCGTTCAGAATTTGAATAAGTTATGACTTTGTTAAAGCCGAGTTCTTGCCCCTGCAAATCCCTTTGTACCATTGATTGCTCTGTTAAAAATTATTGAACCAGAACTTGAAAGTGTTTTTGGACAAGATTTAGAAATGAGGAAATTATGCAAGTATACAAATCATATAACGGTAGAAGGCACCGCGGAGGGGAAAATCGGTGATCCAACAGTTGTCCAGCAGCCCTAGGACTAGGTAGTTTTAGATCTATTTTAATCTCCTTAATAAGTCCTATAGCTATGCAAGTGAGTGCATTTTGATAACTGCTGTGCCTAATTTGTAACAATTACTGTCAACCTTCAGTTAAGAGACTGTTCATTCCACACTGGCCCAGAAAAGAGTGAAATGTATGACTCGTGTGCATAATTTTATTCACATCATATTTCATACTGATTATGTATTGATGACATTGATTCATTTACTCTTCACAGCACCACTTGCATGGATATTAAATCTTATTGACCACAGATGAATTTTAATTTCAGATTGGTGATAGATTTTTCCATCAGCTCTGATAGTATGTTTGACTTTTTCATCATTAACCCAGGCAATCACACAGCACTGAGTTATTGCATTGAAACAAAAAGTGCACACTTCACTTGGTAATTCTTTATGGATTTACAATAGGAACTTCATTAATGTCTGTTGTAAGGATCCGGGGGAAAAAATACAACATTTATCTGCAAATAGGAATTCAGCAAGCTTCAAAAGTCTGGGGAAAATATTAGCCTTTTTTGTCTTCGGTAATGCGTTTTCTTAATGCTCTGTGTGTGTGGAGGGGAATGACAAATATTTGCAAACTTTGAGCCATTAAAAATTTTACACGGCTATATTTTAATGCCTATACTTCTCCCTTAGTTAATTTTATGGGGTAATTTTAAACGTATTTTCCATTTTTTTATCAAGTAGTTGTTAATTACATGGAAACAAGTACATTTGTATTTATTTACTGTTAGAAGCTGCAGGGAATAACCACTTTAAGATTAAAACTAAAATTTTTTTTTCTTTTGCAAATTAGCCCATCCCACTGATGAGGTATTGCAAACTAATTTAACGAATGCCAGGAGATATAAATCCAGTTTTTGATTATTTGAATTCTAATGAAATGACTCCACCGAGCAAAGGGCAGAATAATGAATGGGTAAACCAAGGATTTTGAGATACTCATTTGAAATCAGAGGTGATAGTTCACCCTCCTGATGATAACTTGGTAGTGAAAACAAATAAAGCCTGAAGAAGAACTGGGAATAAAATGATAGATTGTTTCTCCACACCTTTATTGTAAAAACTTGGTTTCTCCCCCAAGTTACCTCTCAGAGTTTGCTGCTGGTTTGACACCACGTTTCTCCTGGCTTAGCCAAGGATACAAAATGGTTGTTAAGAGCTCAGCCAGGTAAGCCTGGTGCAAACCCAAGGATGGAGGCAGGAGGGAGAGGACTGTAGCTGCGCGTGAAGCACTGGTACAGGCCAGGGGTACCTCAAAACACGAGCAGAGGGTGGCAGTGCCAGCCTGCTGAGGGCAAGGTGAGAGCAACTCAGAGTTGCTCAGAAGACAGATTAGAGGGAAAAAAAAAACCAAGTTTGTGCCTTTAGGAGGTTCCATGCGTTGTGCTTTCTCATTAAAGTCTAATGGGAAGGGTAGGCTGTTCATGTTAGAATCCAAAATATATTTTACACAAACAATACGAATGACCAGTGTCTAATTTTTTAGACAACCAATATGAACCCATATGAATTATCAGTGTCTGAATTTTTAATAGTGGATGCCAAAAAAATAAAGGGGCAGGTGGCCTTCAGAAATTAATAGCTCTTACAGAGGCCTCAGGAAAAATAACTTGAGGATATGTTCTTGTCAGCCGTTGGTGAGAAGCTGTGTTTGGGGTAAGGTTAATGAAGAACATTTCCCTGTTGGCATACATGTCTCACATTTTTGCCCTTGGTGCTCAGCTCACCAAGAAAGAGCACAGTCGATTCACAAGGTAGTTTTTGTAAATAAAGGTTTTGGGTGAGCCAAACACAGTCCAGAGAGATATAAATGAGAGGGCAAGTGGCAAGAGGTAACGAAAACACACTTGCTCGTGTAGTGTAACCTGCTTTTTGGATCTAGTGAAGGCTTTAAAATTCTCTTCCCAAAACCTTGTGGCATTTCTGTTCCGATGAGTAGGAGAGAAATGACAAATAGCTCTGTTTTATTGTTTTCTTTTCTCTGGTTCTCCATGTTTTTGGTAGGGAAAATTGGACACTTACTTTGGCTGTTTTCCTTCTAGTCGCAGAAGCAATTACATTTTTTAGTGCATGATGGCTGGTAAATATAGACAAGCATCCTCTGGCTTAAAAGATAATGAGTTGATTATTTGTACATGCCTTCTTTAACAGCAGTTAATTGTATGGAATGTGTAGGCCCCATCCTCTGGTCTGCTTGAACTTTTATTCCCCTAAAATTTGTTTCCTGTGTCAAGGGTGTATAATAGTTAGTTGTTCTGCATCATTGGCTTTTGTGTATTCGGAGGGAAAAAAATCATCTTAAGCTTTTAAAATCACACAGTGATTGAAATTTCAGATTGTCTGAAATCTCAAGCCACTGGTGTTCACGGAGCTACACAGTTGTTTTGCCTGTATCACTTGAAGCAAGTTTGGCTAGCCTCCGGAGAATCCTGCCTTCTAGAGCGTTATGTAAATCCAGGGAAGGGGCTAATTTTTTCCTTTGTGGATTGCTGCCTGCTCTGGAATTTTTTTCTTCCGCTCACAAGGATGAGGGTGCCATCCAGAATTATGTGCTTTTCTGTAAAAGGCTGTGAGATCACATCTCCGCAGGCGGAGGAGAAGCTGGTGAGCCTTGTCGTTTACGGATCACTCTGCAGTTCCTCCGTAGTTACGTAATTGGTGTTCTGTGTGTCCATCGTGCAGGACATTGGATGCTCATTTATTAAATATGCTTGCTGGCTGCTGCTGCATCTTTGTTCTGGACAAATTACCTTTCTCACACTGAGCTTCCACTCTAGGGAATTAAGCCTCCACTACTTTAATTAGCTTGGAAGTGGGGGGTTGCAGTTCCTAATAGTCTTCAGGCTTTTAGTTAAGTTAGGGAAAGGGTGACAGGAGAACTTCCTCCTTAGGAAGCTCAAAATCATTTTAAAGCCATAAAACCGTAAAATATGTTACTTCACTTTGGTGATGAGTGTGTGAGTGGTCACATTTCTAACCTAGATACTGAAGTTAGACTTGCCTTGAACTGCATTCTTTACACAGGTCATGGACATGTTGCATACACTGCCTCTCATATGTATAATATTTGTGTAAGAGTGACTTAACTGGAACATTCGTTGAGAAACAGTATTCGCATATTTGCATATGGAATGTTTCTGTCTCTACACACACACAACACTCTCTCTCTCTCTGTCTCTCTCTCTGTCTCTCTCTCCCCACCCCTACCTGTGGGTTAAGGCCCATGTGGATGAATACAAATCACACAGGAATATCTGACTAACAGTGACAGCAGCGTTGTTGAACGTGCTCCGTCATAAGCCTGGAGTCTTGATCATAGTAGTCTTATTCATCTCCACTTTAAAGATGAGGCTATGCAGGCACAGGCTGTTGAAATAACTTGCCAGAGGGTTTCACAGTTGAACATATTAAGCCAAAATTTCTGGACTGGGACTTTTCTAAGAACATTCCTGTGATTAAAGAACCCTAGAAACCACCATTAGGCAAGACTTAGAATGCATTCCTTTTAGAGAACAGCGTGGCTTTTAACGAAGTTCAGCAATGCATTGTAGAACTTTTGCACCAGAAACTTTCTGAACGTCCATTTAGTGTCTGCAGCCAATAAAGCTGCAGCAAATGCTATGCCTTAGCTCTTCGCTGCTGGGGTAAGTAGCATAGAGAACCTCCGTCAAGTCACAGTTGGGCAGTAATCTGATGCAAGAGTAGTGACTGTGTGGGAGACAAAAGCAGTCGTGTTTGAGGTTCCAATCTCTCCAATTTAGCATTTTAGCTAAGATGCCCATTTTTATGTCTTGCAGGTCTGCTAAAAGGTCAGAGTGATGCAGAATGCGTGCCTTCATCTCAGATTTTGTTCATCACAGGTGGACCCCATGTGTCTTCAGTAGACAAGTCACCTCCGTAGCTAGCACCAGTGCCAGCTCCATGCCATTGCACCTTCTTAGTCTTGATTGCCCTTCCCGCATTTATTGGTGTATTAAAATGACTGAATATGAACATTAAGGACTCCATGAACCTGGGCTAATGGGAGACTGTAGAGAAAATGAAAAAAGATCCACCGGAGGACATCTTGGGGGGGGTGGGGGAGGGAGCTTGGGGGGAGGGAAATGACTAATGAAGCTAATTAAAAGAAGCATTCAAATCTGCTTTCTACCCTCATTAACAATTAGCAGGGCACTGGCCAGAGTTTGTACCCTGTGTTTTACCTTTAACAACATTCTATTTGCTCTTTGTATATTTAAGTGTTGTAAGGAAACGTGTTTCAATCAAAACCGAACATGAGATAAAGAAGAGATGTGGCTTTTGTGATATTCTATCACAAACACTTTTATTGTATCTCTGTAAAATACAATGTATGTATGCATGTAAGTGTTTTTGTCCTAATGTTGCTACTCTCATGGCAAAGATTAAAAAATAAATGAATGAAAAAAGGGAAAAAATGGGAAAAAAAATCAGGCTCATAGCAGCTACTTGTGTAGAAATTTCCCCCTACTTCTAATTTGCTGAATGAAGAAAAAAAAAATCTTTTATTTGTGATATTTTCAGAGACATTTGCTCTAGTATGGTGTATTTAAATAATAAAAACTTAAAAGAAAAATACGCATTGGAGTTTGGGTTTAAACACTGCTTTTTCTCATCTGTATTTTGGAAAAATTTCTGGCTTCTTTGTTGTTCTATAACTAGCTCAATTTGCATTTGAGGGGTTGGAGAAGGTGGTGTGTATATTTATTTAACTCTGAGCCAGTAAGGTATTCTGGAAATGACTTAACTGTGCCATTTTTGGCAAGGGTACAAGGCAGTGTTTCTAACGGAGTCCTTTCATACATTTAGAATATTCTGTTAACAGTACCACTTCATGCTGTATCGCAGCAAATCTTTTGTTTATATATAAACACTTGTTTGATTCTTGAGCGATTTCATTCATTCTTTTTTCTCAGTAGGAGAGCCTTGGGTAGTGATCAGAAGTATATTCAAGAATATGGCCCAGCCATCCCATTCCCTTCAAGTTGACAGCTTTGGAAAGTCATAGCATCTCTAAACCACATCTCCACGTTTGTTAGGGACCGGCTCTGTCCTAGCTTTCTTGCCTGGAGCAGCCGTGTTCTGGGGAGCACTCAGGCTTTTGTGATCTGCTGGAAGGTTTGTTTGTTTTGCTCTTATCCTCCTCTTCTGTCTCTGCCTTTCCATATGTTTGCTGGAGAGGATTCCAATTATGTTTACTAGTGTTGTTGAGAATGTTGTTAGTGCTAGGCAAAGAGGATCCCACGGAAGCGCCTGCAGCACCCAGAGAGATGTTCAGAGGAAAGGAATCGGTGGACCCATGGTTGGAGCCAGGTGCAGAGGAACTAAGCAGTCCTGGATGCCGGGGCTGTTCTCCCGCGAAGCTCACTGTTGGCAGGTGAACAGCAGCTTCCATCACACGCTGATAAGCCACACGTGTTTGTGCTACTGCTTCTGCTTTTATTTTGAATATGTCATTTACTGTCTGATTCCAGAACAGCACCTCTAACAGACTTGAGAACAGGGGTAGGTTATTGAGAGAGATCCCTGTTGGCTCATGTCAGCTGACAGCCCAGGCAACTGCGCAACTCCACAGCGCACTTTACCAAAGTTCTGGGCCGGGGCTCGGGGCAACATGAGTTGTTCAAACGACACATGTCCTTTTAAAAAAAACGACTTTCTAAAGGAATTTGGATTCTTGGTGATGATGAGGGGAGGGGTGGTAAATGTTGTGCACATCTTTCCCTTTTTAGGGTTTTTTTTTTTTTTTAATTGGAAACGCAGATATACAAATAAAAGGAGACACAGAAAGATCTTGTCAGCTGGCTCACTTCCCCGTGGCTTCATTGATCGGAGCTGAGATGATCTGAAGCAAGGAGCCAGGAGCTTCTTCCAGGTCTCCCACACGGGTGCGGGGCACCAAGGCTTTGGGCTGTCCTCCACTGATTTTCCTAAGCCATGAGCAGGGAGCTGGAAGGGAAGTGGAGCAGCCAGGACACAAACCAGTGTCCTCATGGGATCCCACAGCATACAAAGTAAGGATTTAGCCACCAGGCCATCGCACTAGGCCCCATTTCCCTATTCTTTTAGATGTGTACTCACAGCCCCTCTAGAGTAGAAATCTCAGGAAGATAGGTAATGACTTTGAGTAAGAACCACGGGGTGGCATTCAGTGATGGTAGGGGGCTGAGGTCGTTGCAGACTTTAAATGAACTGTTATATGGCGGGTTCCTCAAGCGCTGCTGCGTATTCAGTAATGAGCTTCTAAAAGCATTTCTTAAGTTGCAGACCTATAAGATTACAAATGTCATTCATGTTAGTATAATCCACATGCCAGTGATGAAGCCCTCTCTTTGATGTGCTAAATTGGAGAAGGACTAATGGAGCTATGAATATACAATAGAACATATTTAAGTAGTAGTCTTGCTTTAGGTAAAACACTTTCTTGAAACCAGAGGCATTTCAAACAATAAAACCCAGCTCTAATGGGGATGCTGTGTGGGGATGGCAAGCTACTCCAAACACTCAGGTTTACTCTGACGTGAGCCTGTGATGGTGGGGCACTTCCTCCCCCAGCCCCAGCATGGCTTAGGGGAAAAAAGAATCCATAAGAGCATTCCCTTTCATCCACGGTGTTTGAGAGGGTGCTTGCCAATGCAATGGATGTCGTTCTTAATACTACCTGCATCTAGGAACAAGATGGGCCCTAGTCCCAGGAAGTGTGATTAGAAACAAAAGCAAATGGTGCAGAGCCCTGTGGAATTGCTAAAAAAAAAAAGTTTATGATAATATAACTCTGAGTCATGTATATTGCCACTCTGGTTAATGAAAATTTTGTGAAAATGATTGTCCTCCAAAAGGGTTTAGTGTTTTTTTACCTGATTAGATTTATACATCCCGCAAGGCAGAAGAGCCTTTTAAACCAGATCGCTTGCCAGGATGAAACTGTTTCCAGCTCTTCCTGATTTATTAAGAAATAGTTTAACATGGACTGTAGTGTCTTATAAAATTCAAGATGAGAAAACTGAGTGAAGCCTGAGAAATTGTCATCCTCTTAATATTAACTATATTTAAATTCTTTCTTTTGCCCTTATTAACACTGATATTTGAAACAACTAATCATCCAAAATGAAGCTCTTAAATTAAATGGCTTTAAATGTCAATATCGCAAGATTCTAATGTGCTACTATTTATATAAAATATTTCTTAGGGCCCATAAATTATATAACAAACACAGTGACTACAAGAGCAATGGATGAAATCTTCTTAGGGAGGAAGGAGTTTCCACATAGCCTAAATAATTCTATTTAAATTGAAAGACTTTTTTAAAGACTTCTTCTCGGGGTTCCCGCTCCCATCCTACAAGCTCTCCCACATGTGATTCGGGCGGAGCGGCCCCCAGAAACCCAATTAATGCCGCTTCTGGCTTTGTTATCAAAACTCACTATTGTCAGTCCAGCCAAGTCACAGAAATGCTTATTGCAGTTAAATAGCAATTTGTTTCCATGAAACTGCAATTAAAGTATTACTGAGCAGCCATTTTAGATTGGCAGAGCTCCGCACGCATGTTAAGCAGCCGGTAACTCGCACTTGGCAGAGCTGGCGTCCTAGTGGCGGAACGTAAACCCCTTGGCCCATGTCGTGGTCGTCGGGGTGGGAGGCGTTCGAAGGCCTCCACTCCTATCCAGAGCGTGCTGAGAGCGTTACAAGTCGGGGCGGATTTTTGGAAGGTAATCTTGGAACTTACCTCAAGTGACTACAATTTTCAGTTGTACAAGAAGTGTTTTATGCTAGCTCATACGTGCGTGTTTCCTGGAGGGAATGTTTTCAAGTTCAGATTGATTCTGCTGAGAACGGACTGCAACTCAGAGGCCGTAAGGCAATAATGTGCAGCAGGTCCTGACATGTTGCAGCTGTGTACCCAGGGCCATCTCGTCTCCTAAATCACCACTAATCAAGCAGGGGATGGAAGTCCATTGATTCTCTTGTAGGTTCTCTGAGTGGCTCTGGAGAGTGGTTTCAGGTCTCTGTTCCAGTGAACAAGCCCGACTTGAGCCACCCAAAGGCCAGTGTTAGTGGTCACCCCCTCCCGCCGCAGGTGCAGGCAGGGGTGGGGGGCCTTCAGGGTTTGTGTCACGGCCAGTGCCTGGGATCTGATGCCAAAGGCAGGATCTGCACCTCATCCTTGCTGCTGAGCTGAAGTTCCGAATGTGTAGAGTGAGAAAGGTGAAGTGCAAAGGTTTTATTGAAAATGTGAAACGTTGATGTAAGATCCTGAGAGGGGAAAGGCTTTCAGAGGTGGTGTTTTAAAAAATGCAATTAGCACTGAATTCTAACCAGCTTGGCACAGTCGTCAGCTTGCAAGAACTCGGGCATCTTGCCTTGCATCTGCCTAAAAAGATTCCCCACCTTGAATCAAGAGGTTGACATCTGTAATGTTTTCAAAATCAATTTTCATTCTTGAAGGGTTTCTCCTGCCTTGTTTGAACTGTACCTTAAAAAAAAAAAGCAAGATGAAAACATTAAAGAGTTTCTTCCTGAATTAATTTTTCATTTTTAGTGAAGTGAGGGTTTTTAGGAACTATAATGAGAAAAATCTCAGGACAAAACTGAATTTACAAATGAAGATTAATTATGAAACCTACAAAGAAAATTGATTGCTTGGCTACAACTGAATGTACCTTTTTTCTTTATTTCAATCGGGTTTGGTAGGGATTGTTGTGTTTTAAAATTCTGCAGTTTCCTGTAAGGTCCCTGTTTCAATTTCTGTCATCAATCGTAGGGCATAAGCTTACAGTTTTAAATACAGTGTTTAGTGTATAATACCTTTGTCTTGCAGTCTCATACTGCTTTGTGAATGCGTTTTTCGGGAACAGTTACAACAAGCAAGTACTTAGGCATTCTCACATCGCAATCCACTCAGCCCTGATGTTGGTTCTCTTAATTATTGTTATTATTGTAGCTTTGCAGGTAAGATAACTTAAGGATTTTTGGTGAGGGGGAGGACTCCTGCGGCAGGGCCCATACCAGAGTAAGGGGAGTGGGCACCACGTTGGGTACAAATTTTAAGGAGTGCCAGAAAAACCCTCATTCTTTAGCATGGTGCTTGAATGCAGGGTTTCCAAATAAAATGAATGCAACAGGAAGTCCAAGATGAACAAAGTGAAACCATTTTAAATGAAGGCAGGAGCAATATACAGGGGCTTCAGAAAGTTCATGGAAAATATATATTACAAAAAACTAGGCCTGAATTTCAAAAAAGTAAACGATTCTAAATTTGGGCCCCCACATGGGCTGTCACCTGCTTATTTCTCAGGCACTGTTGCATAAAGCTGGGTCAGAAGTGGAGCAGCTGGTACCCCTCTGGGATGCCAGCATCCTAGGTGGTTGCTTAGTTTGCTGTGCCATAATGCTGGCCTGTTCAAATTTCTGTATCAGAATGCCAGCCTCCATCAAACTTCAAAATATCTTCTCACTACTTAACTTTCCTTTGGTCTCTTCCTTCAACAGGAGGTGGGGTCTGTTATTCAGATCCAAACTGTCAAAGTGTTCGACATTTTGGTATTGCCTTATAAATTATGATGCTAATACACTCTA